GAGAAAGGGTCAGGGTCCGCTTCATCAGAATCTCACTGAGAACAGGAGAAAGAGTCAGGGGCCGGTTCATCAGAACCTCACTGAGTACAGGAGAAAGAGTCAGGGTCCGGTTCATCAGAACCTCACTGAGAACAGGAGAAAGAGTCAGGGGCCGGTTCATCAGAACCTCACTGAGAACAGAAGAAAGAGTCAGGGGCCGGTTCATCAGAACCTCACTGAGAACAGGAGAAAGAGTCAGGGTCCGGTTCATCAGAACCTCACTGAGAACAGGAGAAAGAGTCAGGGGCCGGTTCATCAGAACCTCACTGAGAACAGGAGAAAGAGTCAGGGGCCGGTTCATCAGAACCTCACTGAGAACACGAGAAATAGTCAGGGGCCGGTTCATCAGAACCTCACTGAGAACAGGAGAAAGAGTCAGGGGCCGGTTCATCAGAACCTCACTGAGAACAGGAGAAAGAGGCAGGGGCCGGTTCATCAGAACCTCACTGAGAACAGGAGAAAGAGTCAGGGGCCGGTTCATCAGAACCTCACTGAGAACTGGAGAAAGAGTCAGGGGCCGGTTCATCAGAACCTCACTGAGAACAGGAGAAAGAGTCAGGGTCCGGTTCATCAGAACCTCACTGAGAACAGGAGAAAGAGTCAGGGGCCGGTTCATCAGAACCTCACTGAGAACAGGAGAAAGAGTCAGGGGCCGGTTCATCAGAACCTCACTGAGAACAGGAGAAAGAGTCAGGGGCCGGTTCATCAGAACCTCACTGAGAACAGGAGAAAGAGTCAGGGCCGGTTCATCAGAACCTCACTGAGAACAGGAGAAAGAGTCAGGGCCGGTTCATCAGAACCTCACTGTTCATCAGAACCTCACTGAGAACAGGAGAAAGTAGTCAGGGGCCGGTTCATCAGAACCTCACTGAGAACACGAGAAAGAGTCAGGGGCCGGTTCATCAGAACCTCACTGAGAACAGGAGAAAGAGTCAGGGGCCGGTTCATCAGAACCTCACTGAGAACAGGAGAAAGAGTCAGGGGCCGGTTCATCAGAACCTCACTGAGAACAGGAGAAAGAGTCAGGGGCCGGTTCATCAGAACCTCACTGAGAACAGGAGAAAGAGTCAGGGGCCGGTTCATCAGAACCTCACTGAGAACAGGAGAAAGAGTCAGGGTCCGGTTCATCAGAACCTCACTGAGAACAGGAGAAAGAGTCAGGGGCCGGTTCATCAGAACCTTACTGAGAACAGGAGAAAGGGTCAGGGGCCGGTTCATCAGAACCTCACTGAGAACAGGAGAAAGAGTCAGGGGCCGGTTCATCAGAACCTCACTGAGAACAGGAGAAAGAGTCAGGGGCCGGTCATCAGAACCTTACTGAGAACAGGAGAAAGGGTCAGGGGCCGGTTCATCAGAACCTCACTGAGAACAGGAGAAGAGTCAGGGGCCGGTTCATCAGAACCTCACTGAGAACAGGAGAAAGAGTCAGGGGCCGGTTCATCAGAACCTCACTGAGAACAGGAGAAAGAGTCCCATTGGCAGAAGGAAGAACGGAGAGAAATATGTGGAAATAAAACCATGAATAAAATGTTACCTCTCATTTATCAGATATGAAGAATTCATTTTCAAACATCGATCAAAGCCGATCTTAAAAAGATGAACCAAACGCCCGTCTGAGACTCCTCAGCGTCATGTCGCTTTTAGACGCTTTCATCCAAAGCGACTCACATACTCGATACTGTGGGCACTTTGGGGTGAAGCGTCTCAGGGACACAACGACATGCTGACTGCAGTGGGGTTTGAACCTGTGACGCCCTGACCCCGACACCAACGCACTACCCACTGCACCACAGCCTCCCTGTGTTATGATCAGCCCTCGATGATGTTCTCTTGTTATGAAATGTTTCCTCATAAATGATGCGGTGAGCAGGAGGACAGAATTACGTCTGAACTGACGCCGTGTTGCTTTTCTATAGGTTGTAGATACGAGCATGGTTTTATATACTATCACGTTTAATCGTGTTTTATGCCGTTTGCTAAGACTTGATAAGTCGCTCGTAAAACACAGGAGGTATGGAAGCTAAGAACACCATGTGGTCAATTGTACAGCTGATATAACACATTAGTTGTGTTTCCTCTAACTGGTGGATTATGGAGATAGAGTTGCTGATCGACAGCTGGGACACAAACCACCAAATACAAACACATAATTCAGATCAGTCGTCATGACTCCACTCCGGAGGGATTCCCCGATCACTTCTTACAGTCTCTCATCAAGGGGGGTCTCCTGTCCCCGGTGCAAACACACTGCCTGAGGAAGGCTGTGTGTATTGTTTTTGTCATGAACCTTTTTCGGACCAATTATTTATGTTGGTGACGATCCGACCTCCATGCTGCTACTCTGGTTCAAACTGCATCCACCAAACAATATGATTTATCTCCACCTCCCCAAAATAACCCACATCTGACACGGTGTGAGACGTCTGTTTTAGCTTTCTGTCGTCATTTCCTGCGATCTCCTTCATGCAGTCAGTCAGAATGAATGAATGAATGAATGAATGCATGAATGAATGAATGCATGAATGAATGCATGAATGAATGAATGCATGAATGAATGAATGAATGAATGAATGAATGAATGCATGAATGAATGGATGGATTAATGGATGGATTAATGAATGAATGGATTAATGCATGAATGGATGAATGGATGGATGAATGAATGGATGGATTAATGAATGAATGGATGGATTAATGAATGAATGGATTAATGGATGAATGGATGAATGAATGAATGGATGAATGAATGGATGAATGAATGGATGAATGGATGAATGAATGGATTAATGAATGGATGAATGGATTAATGAATGGATGGATGGATGAATGGATTAATGAATGAATGAATGAATGGATGAATGGATGAACGAATGAATGAATGGATGGATGAATGAATGGATGAACGAATGAATGGATGAATGAATGGATTAATGAATGAATGAATGAATGAATGAATGAATGGATTAATGGATGAATGGATGGATGAATGAATGGATGAATGGATGAATGAATGAATGGGCGTTACGTGAAGCCCGCAAAAGCTGAGCCGCATTTCGAGTCGGTTGTGATTTATAAAGGAAACCGGCGAGGGACATGCCATACGCACTTTCCTCGCCGGTACGCAATGTTTTGTGAATCGGAAAGTGTCGGTGCGTATTTATTTGCTTTGTCCTACGTAAGCAACCTTCCCACGTCAATCCTACACAAGGCTTTATCAATGAGGCCCCTGAACTTTAGAAAGAACATCCAGAACATTCATCCGTTTGCATCGTGCTAATTATTTATCTAATATATCATATTCCAATTACCTGTATATCGACTCTCCTTGCACTATTTGATCTGTGTCATTGTGTTGCTCTGTGGGAGGAGCCTCAGATTTTAATTGCTGTATCTAAACTGTAGCTCTGTACGAATGACAATACAAGCCTTGAACCTTGAATCTTGATTGTTACAGAAAAAAAAAGTAAATATATGCTTCTAATTGACGTCTTACTGTGTCTACGTACACATTACATTAACAACACAGTTTATAATAATTGCTATTTGTGTGTATTCTTCAAGGCAGTCTGTTTTTCCGGACTATTTAACAGTTATTTGATGCATCATCGATCTACTCTGTGGAAGTTACATAAGGTCAGGTTTCTGCAGGATCCTCTCTCTTAGTTCCTTAAAATGAAGTCATCTGGACGGTTAGTTTTACCTGGATCATTTTTACTTATTGACTTCGGAAAAACTGCTTAAATATATTATTGTATTGTTGTTGTTGTAATACTCGTTTGGGCCACTAGAGGCTGAAGTGCAGAAAGAAACCCTTTGTCTCTAAATAGGACTAGAAGCAGTATCAGTACTTTCATTTGAAGGATATGCTGCACTCTTGTAGTCTGGATTATAACTAAGTACATTTATTAAGTATTTTCATGGACTACAATTCTCAAGGAAATGTTGATCTTTTTACTTCTCGATATGTGTCTTACAGCTTTAGGCCCCGTCCACACGGATGCGATTTCAGTTGTATCCGCTAACGTTCTTCATCGTATAGACGGTTCGTCCACACGAAGCCGAAACGGAGCCCGAAACCGGCTCCCGAAGTGGGTAGGTCTGGAGACGACACGCTTGCGGCTCGGTGTGTTCGCCCTATACGATCTTTTCCTGAATCGATGACACCATAGCCCCGCCTCTCCCCACCTCTCCCGCTCACCCCGCGTCATTGCTGATGCGTTTCGCCAACAACAACAACAATGGCGGATCACAGGGTTGCGTTCGTGCTCCAGACGCTACTGACCATGATAGAGATGTTAGTGCAACATCTACAGCTCCTCGACCACAACCATCAGCAACAAGTGGACCTGGAGAACTACATGAACTAGCTAGTTTGTTTGTTTATGCCTTATGCCCATGCTCGGGGGTCTTATTCGCTGCTTTTGGTGTATTTAGTGGCGGAAGTACAGCGCCACTTACAGGCTGGCATATGTACTACAGCGTTTCCAGCGGGTCGAGCGCTCTCGTGCGGACGCGTTTATTGAGCCGACTCCGTGTGGACGGAAGACTTTCTTGAAATCGACTTCGGTTTCTAAATCGGTTTCGTCTCCGTGTGGACGGGGCCTAAGATACTTTACAAAATGTGATTTTTGCATAAAAAGCACAATAGCGGATAAAATATGTTTGTTATAAATTAAACTAGCCAACATTTTATACAAATAGAGTTTATTAAATAACTAATTAGCCTGTTGAGAGATAATCAATGGGTATGCATCAACGTTTATAAATATTCTAAATGATTTATGAATAATTTAGAGTTTACAAAACATTTAAAAAACTACATTTTGCTGATTTGGGGAGCTAGCGTTAGCGTTAGCCACAATCTGAAACTCTTTTTACTGCTTTGTACGCGAGGAGAGGAGGAGCCACACTGAAGCTGAACACTACAACTCCCATGATGCAACGCTGCATGCTTCACTCACCCTGTTTGACCGTGAAGATCTGCTCCTTAGCCGGGTTCAAGATGGTCGGTATTTTGGGCAGACCGGGCGGATCTGAGAGAGAAACAGATTATTAACCTTCTTCATTAAGGTCTGTGGTGTAAATACACACGTGTGGTGTAAATACACACATGTAGTATACATATACACACATGTAGTATAAATACACACATGTAGTGTAGTATAAATATACACACATGTAGTATAAATACACACATGTAGTGTAGTATAAATATACACACATGTAGTATAAATATACACACATGTAGTATAAATACACACATGTAGTGTAGTATAAATATACACACATGTACTGTAGTATAAATATACACACATGTACTGTAGTATAAATATACATATGTAGTGTAAATACACACATGTAGTATAAATATACACACATGTGTGATGGTGTGTATATGTGTGTGATGGTGTGTGTGTGTGCGTGTGATCGTGTTCAAATCAATAGGCACGCAATGACTCTAAATAATAATGATCACGCATCAAACACACATTCAGACTAAAGGAACCAGCTGTTTGGAAAATGTAAGAAGTAGAAAGTACAGGTATTTGAGTTCAACATGTAAGAAGTAGAAAGTACAGGTATTTGAGTTCTACATGTAAGAAGTAGAAAGTACAGGTATTTGAGTTCAACGTGTAAGAAGTAGAAAGTACAGGTATTTGTGTTCAACATGTAAGAAGTAGAAAGTACAGGTATTTGTGTTCAACATGTAAGAAGTAGAAAGTACAGGTATTTGAGTTCAACATGTAAGAAGTAGAAAGTACAGGTATTTGAGTTCAACATGTAAGAAGTAGAAAGTACAGGTATTTGTCTTCAACATGTAAGAAGTAGAAAGTACAGGTATTTGAGTTCAAAGTGTAAGAAGTAGAAAGTACAGGTATTTGTCTTCAACATGTAAGAAGTAGAAAGTACAGGTATTTGTGTTCAACATGTAAGAAGTAGAAAGTACAGGTATTTGTGTTCAACATGTAAGAAGTAGAAAGTACAGGTATTTGAGTTCAACATGTAAGAAGTAGAAAGTACAGGTATTTGTGTTCAACATGTAAGAAGTAGAAAGTACAGGTATTTGAGTTCAACATGTAAGAAGTAGAAAGTACAGGTATTTGAGTTCAACATGTAAGGAGTAGAAAGTACAGGTATTTGAGTTCAACATGTAAGAAGTAGAAAGTACAGGTATTTGAGTTCAACATGTAAGAAGTAGAAAGTACAGGTATTTGTCTTCAACATGTAAGAAGTAGAAAGTACAGGTATTTGAGTTCAAAGTGTAAGAAGTAGAAAGTACAGGTATTTGTCTTCAACATGTAAGAAGTAGAAAGTACAGGTATTTGTGTTCAACATGTAAGAAGTAGAAAGTACAGGTATTTGTGTTCAACATGTAAGAAGTAGAAAGTACAGGTATTTGAGTTCAACATGTAAGAAGTAGAAAGTACAGGTATTTGTGTTCAACATGTAAGAAGTAGAAAGTACAGGTATTTGGGTTCAACATGTAAGAAGTAGAAAGTACAGGTATTTGAGTTCAACATGTAAGAAGTAGAAAGTACAGGTATTTGAGTTCAACATGTAAGGAGTAGAAAGTACAGGTATTTGAGTTCAACATGTAAGAAGTAGAAAGTACAGGTATTTGAGTTCAACATGTAAGGAGTAGAAAGTACAGGTATTTGAGTTCAACATGTAAGAAGTAGAATGTAGAAAATTGTCAGAAAAATAAGTAGTGGAGTAGATGAACTGAGACCAGAAACATGTACTCAAGTACAGTAACGAAGTATTTGTACTCCACTTCTTCCCACCTCTGTACACATGTAGTATAAGTACACACAGTATATATACTATATATGTAGTATAGGTGACTCACTGACGGCGCTGAGGTTGATGCTGCGGGTGAAGTTGAGGGGTCTTCCTCTCCTCTGGTAGCTCACGGTGCAGAAGTAAAGACCCTCGTAGCTCCCCAGCATGATGTGGACCCTCAGGCTGACGCCCCTCAGCTGCCGGTTACCCCCAACGAACGGGGGGCGCTTACATTTCTGACATCACAGAGACACAGGGTTTAAACAACTGAGCTTTAAAGAGACACCTATTATACAAAACGTCTTCTCTACATCAACATGTGTCCCCTCTTCTTCATGTCTCTTCTACATCAACATGTGTCCCCTCTTCTTCATGTCTCTTCTACATCAACATGTGTCCCCTCTTCTCCATGTCTCTTCTACATCAACATGTGTCCCCTCTTCTTCATGTCTCTTCTACATCAACATGTGTCCACTCTTCTTCATGTCTCTTCTACATCAACATGTGTCCCCTCTTCTTCATGTCTCTTCTACATCAACATGTGTCCCCTCTTCTTCATGTCTCTTCTTCATCAACATGTGTCCCCTCTTCTTCATGTCTCTTCTTACATCAACATGTGTCCCCTCTTCTTCATGTCTCTTCTACATCAACATGTGTCCCCCTCTTCTTCATGTCTCTTCCTACATCAACATGTGTCCCCTCTTCTTCATGTCTCTTCTACATCAACATGTGTCCCCTCTTCTTCATGTCTCTTCTACATCAACATGTGTCCCCTCTTCTCCATGTCTCTTCTACATCACCATGTGTCCCCTCTTCTTCATGTCTCTTCTACATCAACCATGTGTCCCCTCTTCTTCATGTCTCTTCTACATCAACATGTGTCCTCTCTTCTTCATGTCTCTTCTACATCAACATGTGTCCCCTCTTCTTCATGTCTCTTCTACATCAACATGTGTCCCCTCTTCTTCATGTCTCTTCTACATCAACATGTGTCCCCTCTTCTTCATGTCTCTTCTACATCAACATGTGTCCCCTCTTCTTCATGTCTCTTCTACATCAACATGTGTCCCCTCTGTGGAAAGAGACTGAAAGTCTCAGAAACAAAGATTCTCTCTCTTTTTGATCCATTTCTATAAAAACCTGTCTGAAAATGAACTGAATCTCCTCTTAGAGCACCATTGAGTTCTTTGTAACCAAATGTCTCTCAGAGGGGCGTGGGGAGGGGCTCCTTATTTTCATCTAAAGTAACAGACAGAGAATCAGCACTTTGGAAACAGGGCTGAAACAGAGGGGATTATGGGTAATGCTGCAATGATCTGTTTGGTGTTTCAGCCAATCAGAGACAGGCCTGTGATATATTGTTGAAGAAGAAGATAATAGGGGACCTTTAAACATATTTCATTGTGTTGTGAAAATCCTGAGTGTCCTCTTCCAACATGAGAGTAGCATGCTAACAGAGGTATCAACTGCAGCTGTGAACATGACAGGATGTGTGATTACCTAGAAGAGCATCAGGACTGTTTGAGGCAGATGATAGCTATGTGATTAACATGATGATTCAGCCTCTATGGAGAGAGACATCAAGCATGCTCATTTCTGACGTGGAGCTAATCTGAAGTAAACATTGAATACTGGGTGTTATTATTCCCTCACGTTGTACCAGGTGACGGTGACGGTGGTGTTGTTGTCGGCCATCTTGCCGGCCTCTTTCAGGTCGGGGCAGTCCATGGTCCCTCCCTTCTGGAAGGGGATGACCTGCCGGGTCGATTCCCAGGCGACGGGGGGGTCGCAGTCATTGGCGCGGAGCACCTTGCTGGGCCGCAGGACGGAGAGACGCATCGCCATCTTACTGCACGACGTCTTGTTCCTGAGGAGAGACGGACAGTAACCATAACAGAAGCTGTGTTGCTGCTTTCTGGGGCTTTTATTTTGAAAAAACAAGCATAGATCTAAGCTGAAAACATGGTCCATCCTTCCTTCCATAAAGTAACTATGGGCTTTTATTTTGAAAAAAAAGCATAAATCCGAGCCTCCTGTAATGGTGCAGTTACTTTCTGGGGCTTTTATTTTGAAAAACAAGCCTAAACCGGAGCTTTTGGTTACCACAATGTCAACTTCTAGGTCTTTTATTTTGAAAAACAAGCCTAAATCTGAGCTTTCTCTTATGGTGAAGTCACTTTCTAGGGCTTTTATTTTGAAAAACAAGCCTAAATCTGAGCTTTCTCTAATGGTGTAGTTACTGTCTAGGGCTTTTATTTTGAAAAACAAGCCTCACCAGGCGTTTTCTGTAAGTATACGTTACAGTACGGGCCTCTTCATGATCGTCCTGTTGGTATTCAGTTACTCTATGGGGCTTTTATTTGGAAAGAAAGCCTCAATCTGAGATATTAGTTATAATTAGGGCCGGGACTTTAACGCGTTAATTAAGATTAATTAATTACACAAAAATTAACGCGTTAAAAAAATTAACGCATTTTAATCGCACTTATTTTTGCACCGCGGAACGTTTCTCACTGGATGAGTTTCAGGCGTACCGATTATACTGGAGCACCAACTAACGTTCATGACTTCAGACAACAACAAACCACAGTGAACAACAGTGGGAAATGTTGTTTTAAAAAACGGACGGATGGAAGCGTCGATAAGAGCACGGTTGTGTGCAAATTATGCAAAAGGAATTCGCATATCACCGCAGCACATCAAGCCTCAAGTATCACCTCAATGCAAAACATATAGCAGCTAGCGTGGAAGCTAGCGTGGACGTTAGCCTCTTTTATCGCGTTCACACCAAAAAGAGCCGGTACTAAAATTAGTTCATGAGAACCTTTTTACCCCCACGAAAGTCCCTGCTAGAGAGCAGAGAGCTGCTAGAGAGCAGGGACTTTCGTACGGCTCTCTTGTGAGAAAATAGCTATATTTCTGATTGGCTGGGCGGATTGCAAACCACGCCCAGTAAAACTCCCAAAAAGTTTGGTGAAGCCGCCATTTTATTATCCTCGCATTAGCATTATTAGCATTAGCCCAGCGCAGAAACGCAGAGAGACTAACTTATGGCAACACAGAATAAAACATGGGAGCGGTGGAGATGAGGAGGTGTCGGCGTTCTGGCGATTTACTCGGAAGGCTGCTGGGACTCCCAGCAGCTTCTACTGAAGCCAGTCCCCAACTCCGGGGACTTCCGGCCGGGGACTTTGGGCGGCAGTATACGCCGTGAAGTGGTTTGCGGCCTGCCAGTAAACCCAAAGCAGAAGAAGAAGAAGTGACGTCAGCGGCTTAATTTGTTCTCATGAACTAAGTTCTCATGAACCTTTGTGGGAAAAGTACTGCGGTGTGAATGCGCCTAATGGTATACTAAAATCCATGTGAAAAAAATTGCTTCTCACTGTTCTCAGGTCAAATATTTATATGTGATTAAAAATGCGATTAATTTCGATTAATTAATTACAAAGCCTCTAATTAATTAGATTAATTTTTTTAATCGAGTCCCGGCCCTAGTTATAATAAAGCGATTTATTCTGAAAAACACATTCCATCCTAAGCTTCCTGTGAGGATAGAGTAACTCTGTGGGGCATTTATTCTGAAAAACACATCCCATCCTAAGCTTCCAGTGAGGATAGAGTAACTCTGTGGGGCTTTTATTTGGAAAAAAATGCCTCATCATAAGCTTCCTGTGAGGATAAAGTAACTCTGTGGGGCTTTTATTGTGAAAAACACATCCCATCATAAGCTTCCTGTGAGGATAGAGTAACTCTGTGGGGCATTTATTCTGAAAAACACATCCCATCCTAAGCTTCCTGTGAGGATAGAGTAACTCTGTGGGGCTTTTATTTGGAAAAAAATGCCTCATCATAAGCTTCCTGTGAGGATAAAGTAACTCTGTGGGGCTTTTATTGTGAAAAACACATCCCATCCTAAGCTTCCTGTGAGGATAGAGTAACTCTGTGGGGCTTTTATTTGGAAAAAAATGCCTCATCATAAGCTTCCTGTGAGGATAAAGTAACTCTGTGGGGCTTTTATTGTGAAAAACACATCCCATCATAAGCTTCCTGTGAGGATAGAGTAACTCTGTGGGGCATTTATTCTGAAAAACACATCCCATCCTAAGCTTCCTGTGAGGATAGAGTAACTCTGTGGGGCTTTTATTTGGAAAAAAATGCCTCATCATAAGCTTCCTGTGAGGATAAAGTAACTCTGTGGGGCTTTTATTGTGAAAAACACATCCCATCCTAAGCTTCCTGTGAGGATAGAGTAACTCTGTGGGGCTTTTATTGTGAAAAACACATCCCATCCTAAGCTTCCTGTGAGGATAGAGTAACTCTGTGGGGCTTTTATTTGGAAAAAAATGCCTCATCATAAGCTTCCTGTGAGGATAAAGTAACTCTGTGGGGCTTTTATTGTGAAAAACACATCCCATCCTAAGCTTCCTGTGAGGATAGAGTAACTCTGTGGGGCTTTTATTGTGAAAAACACATCCCATCCTAAGCTTCCTGTGAGGATAGAGTAACTCTGTGGGGCTTTTATTTGGAAAAAAATGCCTCATCATAAGCTTCCTGTGAGGATAAAGTAACTCTGTGGGGCTTTTATTGTGAAAAACACATCCCATCCTAAGCTTCCTGTGAGGATAGAGTAACTCTGTGGGGCTTTTATTTTGAAAAAAATGCCTCATCATAAGCTTCCTGTGAGGATAAAGTAACTCTGTGGGGCTTTTATTGTGAAAAACATGCCTCTTCTGGAACAACCATGTGTTATAAAAAGTCTCTCAGCGTTGTGTCGCTGTTGCTCCAGAATGAGGTCACAGTGGAGAGACACGTTCCACGTGTTCTGTCATTTTACCCGTGAGAGCTGAGTGCGTCAGACAGGAAACAGGAAGTGAGTTCTGACCACACAGGAAGTGAAAGCAGAGCGCACTGGGCTGTTGAAATAAACCTGTTTGTGTCTCACTCACTAACTCTGAAACTAAGACTAACTAAAACAGATACCTCATTTACCTCAACAAATAAATACAAATGTTTTATTTTATTCATTTAATGTTCATTTAATTTAATGATGGTTCTACTTTTATATATTTTATTTAATTAGTTTTACTTTTTTTTAATTTGTATTTCATTTTATTTACTTCATTTATCTTAAAGGTCCCGGCCATTTCCACTGATCATAGTTCCATCGTTGAGGTCTATAGAATAGATGTACATTGTTCAATGTTCCAAACTCACATTGGTTTCTCACAGCCTCTCTGTGTAGTCTGTGTATTCACTCTCTGTCCTACACGGCTTGTTGGAGCTCCCTCCCCCCCTGTGAGCCCACTGTGCTCTGATTGGTCGGCTCGCCCACTCTGTTCTGATGAGTCCACCCCCGTTACAGCTGAACATCAGTGATTATGTTTTACAATGGCGTTTGTTAGCAACCAGGAAGTGACACCAGTGATGACAAACAGGTGAGAATGCTGCGTGGGGTCTGGGGGCCGTGTTGGGGGGCCGTTGGGGGGCTCGCTGCTCCGCCCTGTGAGGCTCGAGGGGCCGACAGTGTGAGCTGGGTTACTGCTGTCGTTCCCTGGTTGCTGCGTGGGGTCTGAGCTTCGATCTCTCAGGCAAAAAGCACTTTCTTTCAAGATAAGATCCAATCTTCCTATTCCAATCCTAAAAAACTATTTTCCATCTTCTCCTCCCTCTTGGACCCTCCAAAAGCTCCTCCCCCCTCCTCACTTCTGTCAAGCGACTTTGTTACCCACTTTGAAAAAAAGGTTGATGATATTCGCTCTTTTTTTTCTGACTCACCTTTACTCACCGCTGGGTCACCAGACCTTCCTTCCACCAACACACTAACCTCCTTTTCCCCTCTCTCTCCAAGTGAGGTTCTTACCCTCACTACCTCTGCCCGCCCTACCACCTGTCCTCTGGACCCTATCCCTTCAAACCTCCTTCAGACTATCGCTCCTGATATTCTACCGTTTCTCACCCATTTCATCAACACTTCTCTAACTTCTGGTCACTTTCCAAACAGTCTCAAGGAGGCAAGAGTAAACCCTCTCCTAAAGAAACCCACTCTCAACCCGTCTGATGTTATAAACTACAGGCCTGTCTCTCTCCTCCCGTTCCTGTCTAAATCACTTGAACGCGCTGTCTTTAAACAACTCTCCTGTTATCTCAATCAGAACAACCTTCTGGATCCGCACCAGTCTGGTTTCAAGGCAGGTCACTCCACAGAAACTGCTCTCCTTGCTGTCACGGAGGAACTGCACACTGCCAAAACTGCATCCCTCTCCTCTGTCATCATCCTGTTGGACCTGTCTGCTGCATTCGACACGGTGAATCATCAGATCCTCTTTCACACTCTCCAAAAACTTGGAGTTTCAGGCTCTGCACTTTCCCTCCTCACCTCATACCTCAAAGACCGTACCTACAGGGTGACTTGGAGAGGGTCTGAGTCCCACCCTTGTCAATTAACTACAGGGGTCCCTCAGGGCTCTGTTCTTGGTCCCCTCCTCTTCTCCCTGTACACAAACTCGCTCGGATCAGTCATTAGCCCGCATGGTTTTTCATACCACTGCTACGCTGACGACACCCAATTAATTCTGTCCTTTCCCCGCTCAGAGACCCAGGTCGTTGCACGCATCTCTGCTTGTCTAGCTGACATCTCTCAGAAGCAGAAACACGTGGGTTTGCTGTCCTGGCTCCAAGATGGTGGAATGAGCTCCCCATTGACATCAGGACGGCAGATAGCTCGCACATCTTCCGGCGCAAACTGAAAACTCATCTCTTTCGACTCCACTTCGAGCGTTAGAACTATTAACGAAGCACTTATATACTAATAAAGGACTGGCTTACCTAAAGCCAGTTGAGTAGCACTTGAAATGTTTGGCTCTATGAAACCTGATGTACTTTATGATTCTGTTTTCTTCAAGGTTGTGTCTTCCTGGTCGAATGTACTTATTGTAAGTCGCTTTGGATAAAAGCGTCAGCTAAATGCAATGTAATGTAATGTAATGTAATGTAATGAGCCAGTGTTGCCAACTCCATAGTAAGGAGTAGCTATTGGCTGTCCGAAAAGTCGCCAGAAGTCCCTAAATGACGTCATCGCCTAATTTGCATATCATGTAATGGCGGTAAAAAAACGTTCCACTCCCTTCAAGGATCAAAACTTAAAACCACCAGAGTAAATCCAGACGACAGTAGATCAGACATGTCTCTATTAGACAAAGTAGAAAGTAGAAATAGTTTTAGTAGAAATCTCCCTTACAATAAAGGCAGTACGCCCGTGTGTCATCTCCAATAAATGTCTTCAACCATCCTTTAAACTCAGGGTTTGATTCCCACTCCTCTCTGTACTTTAGTGAATACAGTTCAGACTGTGACACGATGAGCTATGTGGATGTTTAGCTTGTCACAGAGAGGCACACACAGTGGACGAGGTGATTAAGTGACTGAAGCTGTCTCGACGCGGGAGAGTGTGGCTGTCTCCTCTCTGCTCTGACTGCAGCTGAGCTGCTGCGGGAGGCAAAGTGAGTCTGCGCGCCTGTGAGGGCTATGGGAGGGCTATGGGAGGGCTATGGGAGGGCTATGAGAGGGCTGAGGGAGGGCTATGGGAGGGCTATGGGAGGGCTATGGGAGGGCTGAGGGAGGGCTATGGGAGGGCTATGGGAGGGCTATGGGAGGGCTGAGGGAGGGCTGAGGGAGGGCTATGGGAGGGCTATGGGAGGGCTATGAGAGGGCTATGAGAGGGCTGAGGGAGGGCTATGGGAGGGCTATGGGAGGGCTATGGGAGGGCTGAGGGAGGGCTGAGGGAGGGCTGAGGGAGGGCTGAGGGGCTCACGGCAGCTCGTTAACTGCAGAACAATACGTGAGTCTCCGAACACCAGAAAAGTCCCTGATAACACCATTACAAGTCGTTCGATCAGTCGTTAGTCGCTTTTGACAAAAACAAGTAGCCGGAAGGTTTGGAAAGCCGTCGAATTTAACGACAAAGTCGCCAAGTTGGCAGCACTGGTCTGAGCTCCTGCTGAGTGAGTGTGTGCCGGTAAAGCTCCCACTCCCGCAGAGCTTTACCGGCACACACACTCAGGCTGAGTGTGTGTGTGTGTGCCGGTAAAGCTCCGCGCAGCACCGTGGCTGAGAAAAGACAAGGCTGAGTGAGTGTGTGTCAATTTGGACTTCGTTACATCACTTGGTTCCCAGAAGAACAACATGGAGAAAGAGAAATGTCCAACGAGGCGTTCTGGCAGCACAGACAGGTCTTCTCTGAGTCAGAGTGTTACTCCCTACAGGGGGCACTTTGAGGCTCAGAGCGTTCACATGCAGAAGCTTCAGAACACAAGGGGACGGGTCAGAACCAGAGGAGCAGGACGTGGGACCTTCAATAGTTTCTTCATGAGTTTCTTACCTGCTAATGACAGTAACTAAAGGTGTGATGTCTCTCACCTCAGCATGCAGATGTAGAGTCCGGTGTCGGCGGCGCTGCTCGGCTGGAGCCACAGTCTGACTCCGTCTCTGCTGATTCTGGAGCTGCACAAACACACCAGAACCAGAACTGATGTTAGCTGCTGACGCTAACGAGCCTCCATGCAACCTGTCTGACGGGAAATCATTAAAACACTCGCTCACTGAGTCTGTTAGAATCCCTGCTGACCTCTACGGGCTGAAGGACGATGGGGTTCATTACTGTGGACCGAGGCTGGGGAACATATCGTTATAATATTCATATTGTGATTGAGATTAGATAGATATTGTGGAAATGTCATTTAATCCTACATCGGTCTCTGCACCTTCCTGAGTCACTGTAATCCGTGGGGTTATAAAACACGTCGGGCCTGGACCTTCAGAGGATGGTCAGATAAGATGTCCCTTAATAATCCTAGTTCTGGGAAATGTGTTTGTTGTTGAACTGGGACCTCTCCATGCTGCCTTCAGGGACCAACAGCACTAGGGAGATGCTGCCTTCAGGGACCAACAGCACTAGGGAGATGCTGCCTTCAGGGACCAACAGCACTAGGGAGATGCTGCCTTCAGGGACCAACAGCACTAGGGAGATGCTGCCTTCAGGGACCAACAGCACTAGGGAGATGCTGCCTTCAGGGATCAACAGCACTAGGGAGATGCTGCCTTCAGGGACCAACAGCACTAGGAGATGCTGCCTTCAGGGAACAACAGCACTAGGGAGATGCTGCCTTCAGGGGCCAACAGCACTAGGGAGATGCTGCCTTCAGGGATCAACAGCACTAGGGAGATGCTGCCTTCAGGGACCAACAGTACTAGGGAGATGCTGCCTTCAGGGACCAACAGCACTAGGGAGATGCTGCCTTCAGGGACCAACAGCACTAGGGAGATGCTGCCTTCAGGAGCCAACAGCACTAGGGAGATGCTGCCTTCAGGGACCAACAGCACTAGGGAGATGCTGCCTTCAGGAGCCAACAGCACTAGGGAGATGCTGCCTTCAGGGACCAACAGCACTAGGGAGATGCTGCCTTCAGGGGCCAACAGCACTAGGGAGATGCTGCCTTCAGGGGCCAACAGCACTAGGGAGATGCTGCCTTCAGGGGCCAACAGCACTAGGGAGATGCTGCCTTCAGGGACCAACAGAACTAGGGAGATGCTGCCTTCAGGGAACAACAGCACTAGGGAGATGCTGCCTTCAGGGACCAACAGCACTAGGGAGATGCTGCCTTCAGGGACCAACAACACTAGGGAGATGCTGCCTTCAGGGACCAACAACACTAGGGAGATGCTGCCTTCAGGGACCAACAGCACTAGGGAGATGCTGCCTTCAGGGATCAACAGCACTAGGGAGATGCTGCCTTCAGGGGCCAACAGCACTAGGGAGATGCTGCCTTCAGGGATCAACAGCACTAGGGAGATGCTGCCTTCAGGAGCCAACAGCACTAGGGAGATGCTGCCTTCAGGGATCAACAGCACTAGGGAGATGCTGCCTTCAGGGACCAACAGCACTAGGGAGATGCTGCCTTCAGGAGCCAACAGCACTAGGGAGATGCTGCCTTCAGGGACCAACAGCACTAGGGAGATGCTGCCTTCAGGGGCCAACAGCACTAGGGAGATGCTGCCTTCAGGGACCAACAGCACTAGGGAGATGCTGCCTTCAGGGGCCAACAGCACTAGGGAGAGATGCTGCCTTCAGGGGCCAACAGCACTAGGGAGATGCTGCCTTCAGGGGCCAACAGCACTAGGGAGATGCTGCCTTCAGGGACCAACAGAACTAGGGAGATGCTGCCTTCAGGGAACAACAGCACTAGGGAGATGCTGCCTTCAGGGACCAACAGCACTAGGGAGATTGCTGCCTTCAGGGACCAACAACACTAGGGGGATGCTGCCTTCAGGGACCAACAGCACTAGGGAGATGCTGCCTTCAGGGACCAACAGCACTAGGGAGATGCTGCCTTCAGGGACCAACAGCACTAGGGAGATGCTGCCTTCAGGGACCAACAGCACTAGGGAGATGCTGCCTTCAGGGACCAACAGCACTAGGGAGATGCTGCCTTCAGGGACCAACAGCACTAGGGAGATGCTGCCTTCAGGGACCAACAGCACTAGGGAGGATGCTGCCTTCAGGGACCAACAGCACTAGGGAGATGCTGCCTTCAGGGACCAACAGCACTAGGGAGATGCTGCCTTCAGGGACCAACAGCACTAGGGAGATGCTGCCTTCAGGGGACCAACAGCACTAGGGAGATGCTGCCTTCAGGGCCAACAGCACTAGGGAGATGCTGCCTTCAGGGACCAACAGAACTAGGGAGATGCTGCCTTCAGGGAACAACAGCACTAGGGAGATGCTGCCTTCAGGGGCCAACAGCACTAGGGAGATGCTGCCTTCAGGATCAACAGCACTAGGGAGATGCTGCCTTCAGGGCCAACAGCACTAGGGAGATGCTGCCTTCAGGACCAACAGCACTAGGGAGATGCTGCCTTCAGGGACCAACAGCACTAGGAGATGCTGCCTTCGGGACCAACAGCATAGGAGATGCTGCCTTCAGGGACCAACAGCACTAGGGAGATGCTGCCTTCAGGGACCAACAGCACTAGGGAGATGCTGCCTTCAGGGACCAACAGCACTAGGGAGATGCTGCCTTCAGGGGCCAACAGCACTAGGGAGATGCTGCCTTCAGGGGCCAACAGCACTAGGGAGAGCTGCCTTCAGGGAGCCAACAGCACTAGGGAGATGCTGCCTTAGGGACCAACAGCACTAGGGAGATGCTGCCTTCAGGGACCAACAGCACATGGGAGATGCTGCCTTCAGGGACCAACAGCACTAGGGAGATGCTGCCTTCAGGGACCAACAGCACTAGGGAGATGCTGCCTTCAGGGACCAACAGCACAGGGAGGATGCTGCCTTCAGGGACCAACAGCACTAGGGAGTGCGCCTTCAGGGACCAACAGCACTAGGGAGATGCTGCCTTCAGGGACCAACAGCACTAGGGAGATGCTGCCTTCAGGGATCAACAGCACTAGGGAGATTGCTGCCTTCAGGGACCAACAGCACTAGGGAGATGCTGCCTTCAGGGCCAACAGCACTAGGGAGATGCTGCCTTCAGGGAACCAACACAGCACTAGGGAGATGCTGCCTTCAGGGACCAACAGAACTAGGGAGATGCTGCCTTCAGGGACCAACAGCACTAGGGAGATGCTGCCTTCAGGGACCAACAGCACTAGGGAGATGCTGCCTTCAGGGACCAACAGCACTAAGAAGATGCTGCCTTCAGGGACCAACAGCACTAGGGAGATGCTGCCTTCAGGGGCCAACAGCACTAGGGAGATGCTGCCTTCAGGGACCAACAGAAATACTACATGATGTTAATACTGAAGGTACCTAATGATATATATCTGTGTGTACCTGTAGGTGAGGGGCTGCTCCAGGTCGTGGCCCTCCGGCAGGCGGTACCAGAACAGGTTGTGTCCGGTGCTCTGAGTGGAGGAGTAGTTGTAGACGGAGGGGTGAGAGAAGAGAGGGCAGGACAGCCAGCCCACCTCCCCCTCCAGCACAGAGACCCCCTGATCACTGGACTCGCCCCAGTCGAAGCACATGGGCTCTGAAGGAAACAAACATCAGCCATCACCAACATGTGCAATATTATTATTATTATTATTATTAATGTTCTATGATAACGTGGAATTACGTTCTTTTGCATGACTAAGTAATGTTAATATTTACATTCATTTACCCCCCCCCCCCCCCTCTGATACAAGAGCGTCTGACTGAGTCTTCACAGTATCTCCGTGGTCAGAAAGGTTTGTTATCTGATGAGTATCTGAAGGGGAGACTCAGCGTCTCTCCTCTGGACCCCGTTGTAATGAAGTTATTCTTTAACGTTATAATGTGGTTACGATGGATGGCGTCTCTCTCTCTGGACGAGGTCCAGGCGTCCGATTGAAGGACTTTATGAGCGCATCATTAGTGGCTCCGCCGTTAAATAGCTTGTTACAGAAAGACATTATTACACTGCCATGCATTAAAACACTGAGACCCCCCCACCCGCACTCTGTAATCAGAGGCTCTCTCTGAGATTAAAACGCTGCTGATCATACACTTATTCTTTATTCGTACGAACGCTGTGCAGCTGAGACTGAGACAGCAGCGAGATGTGAGACGATGCTTTAGGGCTGAGAACACGTTCTGAGCCCTAAAGCACGTCTTCAATGGAGGCTGAGGGAGCGTCTGAAACTCAGACACTGATATCTGATGATATTGCTGTGTATGAATGACAGAGCTTCAATCGTCTCAAGTCATTATTAAAATCGGGTTTTTAAACTAACAGAAACAAAAGAAGAGCTTTTTGATTTTTCTTTTTAAAAACCTCTTATAATAAATACCTTGAGAGGCAGTGAGCTATTTCAATAGCAAACGTTGGGGACAATTTGAGGCCCCGTCCACACGGAGACGATTTCAGTTGTATCCGCTACAGTTCTTTTTCGTATAAACGCTTAGTCCACACGAAGCCGAAACGGATTGAGTAGAGTGAACTCTAAGTAAATACATATATTCACTAACTTCAATATTTTGGGTTCCTGCAACATTTTCTTAGTATTTGAGTTAATTTAATTGATATTCCTTTATTGACGGATTAAAATGTAATGTTTACACTGTTTTGCAGATTTCACTGTACTATTGTTTATCAGAATAGGTCAGAATTAAGATATGAAAACCTTCGACATGTCTGTTATCTGTAATAAGTAACTCTCTCAACTCTACACCGTGTTTTGGTAGCATCTGCTGAGGATCATGGGTAATGTAGTTTACACTACCTAATTGTTTTTTATAATCGGTCAACATTGGGGATTAGGTTGTTTACATTGTCTACATTCCTGCTACACACTATTTCTTAGTTTTTACGTTCATTTAACTGTTATTTGCTGAGGATCATGGGTAATGTAGTTTAAACAACCTTCCAACATGTGGGGAGAGAAGCCAAACGCCTCAAACTGATGACTGCATTAAATAACTGCAAACGCTCCCATCGAGAGACACGAGGGACTTTGATGACAATCGATCATCAGAATTAGCGCAGACTCATTATCTGCTGATTGACTTCATCGAATATAAAGCTTTCAGCACGGAGTCAGTCTGCAAACCCATCAGATCAGAGACTCATCGGGACATCAGCAGGAGAGGACTCTTTAAAGCAGAGACACTACATACTGATATAAACCTGAACATCAGCAGGAGAGGACTCTTTAAAGTAGATACACTACATACTGATATACACCTGAACATCAGCAGGAGAGGACTCTTTAAAGTAGAGATACACTACATACTGATATACACCTGAACATCAGCAGGAGAGGACTCTTTAAGTAGGAGACATACTACTGATATACACACTGAACATCAGAAGCGAGAGGGACTCTTTAAAGTAGAGGACACTACATACTGATATACACCTGAACATCAGCAGGAGAGGACTCTTTAAAGTAGAGACACTACATACTGATATACACCTAACATCAGCAGGAGAGGACTCTTATAAGTAGAGACACTACATACTGATATACACCTGAACATCTAGCAGGAGAGACTCTTTAAAGTAGAGACACTACATACTGATATACACCTGAACATCAGCAGGAGAGGACTCTTTAAAGTAGAGACACTACATACTGATATACACCTGAACATCAGCAGGAGAGGACTCTTTAAAGTAGAGACACTACATACTGATATACACCTGAACATCAGCAGGAGAGAACTCTTTAAAGTAGAGACACTACATACTGATATACACCTGAACATCAGCAGGAGAGGACTCTTTAAAGTAGAGACACTACATACTGATATACACCTGAACATCAGCATAGAGGACTCTTTAAAGTAGAGACACTACATACTGATATACACCTGAACATCAGCAGGAGAGGACTCTTTAAAGTAGAGACACTACATACTGATATACACTGAACATCAGCAGGAGAGGACTTTTAAAGTAGAGACACTACATACTGATATACACCTGAACACCAGCAGGAGAGGACTCTTTAAAGTAGAGACACTACATACTGATATACACCTGAACATCAGCAGGAGAGGACTCTTTAAAGTAGAGACACTACATACTGATATACACCTGAACATCAGCAGGAGAGGACTCTTTAAAGTAGAGACACTACATACTGATATACACCTGAACATCAGCAGGAGAGGGACTCT